ATCTTAGAGCCATCAACAAGGTAATTCAGCCTATGGGGTCTCTACAACCTGGGATGCCGTTACCTTCTCTAATTCCTAAGGATTGGCCAATTATAGTTATAGACTTAAAAGATTGTTTCTTCACCATACCGCTACAAGAAAACGACAGAGAAAAGTTCGCCTTCACAGTACCTACCTATAATAATTCCCGTCCGGTACAGAGATTCCAGTGGAAGGTACTACCTCAAGGTATGTTAAACAGTCCAACTTTGTGTCAATATTTTGTGAATAAACCTCTAGAAATAATTCGTAAAAAATTTCCACATTCGTTAATATATCATTATATGGATGACATATTATTGTCTGATTCAAATAAGGATACTTTGGAAAAGATGTTTGAGGCAGTAAAGGAAATTTTGCCTCGCTGGGGATTACAAATTGCCCCAGAAAAAATACAAAGAGGAGATTCTATTAACTATTTAGGTTATAAAATAGATGCTCAGAAAATTAGACCACAGAAAGTACAGATCAGAAGAGATCGTTACCGGACTCTTAATGATCTTCAAAAACTATTAGGAGAAATCTCTCAATTACAGACGATTATTGGTGTAGAAGGGCATGATTTAAAACACCTGAAAATGGCTTTAAAAGGAGATAAAGACCTAAACAGCCCACAAGTACTATCAGCTGAGGCTGAAAAAGAATTAGAATGGGTAGAAAAGAGAATATTAGAAGCACATGTGGACCGTGTGGATCCAAATCTGGACTGTATTCTGGTTATTTTACCATCTAGAGAATACCCCTCAGGAATATTAATGCAGAGGGACGACATCATTCTAGAATGGGTATTTCTGCCACATAAACAGAATAAAAAATTGAAAACCTATATAGAAAAGGTCTCAGATTTGATATTAAAAGGTAAATTAAGGCTTCGTCAACTGACTGGGAAAGACCCAGCTGAAATTATTGTACCTTTAACGAATGAGGAAATTTCCTCCTTATGGAAGGATAATGAGTATTGGCAAATAGCTTGCAGTGACTTTTTGGGAAGTATTAGTAATAACTATCCCAAAACAGAGAGAATCAAATTCATAAAGAAAACAATTTGGATTCTTCCACGTATCGTGAGGCAAACACCTATTTCTGGAGTTCTTACCTTCTACACGGATGCAAACAAATCAGGTAAAGCAGGGTATAAATCAGGAAAAATAAGTAAAGTAGTTCAAAGCCCTTACAACTCCGTACAAAAGGCAGAGTTATATGCCATTCTCATGGTACTTAAAGACTTTACAGAGCCTCTCAATATAGTCACGGATTCTCAGTATGCAGAAAGAGTTGTCCTGCACATTGAGACTGCAGAATTTGTTCCTGATAATACAGAATTAACCTCATTGTTTTTACAATTGCAGGAAATCATCAGAAACAGGACTCATCCTATATATATAACACACATCAGATCCCATACAGGTCTGCCAGGTCCTCTGGCACAAGGCAATGATGAAATTGATCGTTTATTAGTAGGTAATGTGTTGGAAGCTTCAGAATTTCATAAGAAACACCATGTTAACAGCAAAGGTTTAAAGAAGGATTTTTCTATCACCTGGCAACAAGCCAAAGAAATAGTAAGAAATTGTCCCAGTTGCTCATTGTACAATCAAACTCCATTACCAGCAGGTTGTAATCCTAAAGGTGTTCACAGAAATGAACTTTTGCAAATGGATGTATTTCACTTCCCAGAATTTGGCAGTTTGAAATATGTACACCATACTATAGACACGTACTCAGGCTTCCAATGGGCTACTGCCCTCAGCTCTGAAAAAGCTGACTCTGTTATTACACACCTCTTAGAGGTAATGGCTGTTATGGGTATACCTAAAACAATAAAAACTGACAATGGTCCAGCATATGTCTCCAGTAAATTGGAACAATTCTTCAAATATTATAATATAAAACATGTAACTGGTATACCTTACAATCCCACAGGACAAGCAATAATTGAAAGGTCTAACCGAACCTTAAAAGAGATGCTTCATAAACAGCCAGGGAAAACAAAGACACCTAGACACAGGTTACACAATGCTTTACTAACGTTGAATTTTCTTAATGCTGATGAAAAAGGACAAACTGCAGCAGAAAGACACTGGACTACAGAGAAGACTTCTGAACTGAACCAACCGGTGTATTTTAAGGATGTTATGACCTCAGTCTGGAAACCAGGATATGTGTTACGTTGGGGAAGGGGTTATGCTTTTGTTTCCACAGGAGAAGAAAAGGTTTGGGTTCCATCAAAATTAATTAAAATTCGATCAGAACAGAAAACATCTCAGGAGGAGGAAGATAACAGCCCATCTACAAATTCATAGTCCACCATGGGTAAAGTGACCTCCTAAAAGGAAAGAGAAGTGTTTTGTTTTTTGTATTCACAGGTAAACTCAGCAAAGAATACTGGACTTATGGATTCCTGTAGAAGAATGAATAGCTACCCTGAGGACCATCAAACAAACAGTATCTCACTGTGTGGTATCAAAGTCTAAATCTCTCTATATTGTTTTTTCATAGTACCCTTTTATCTTTATTTCTTCACATACCTCAGTTCCCATTCATTTAACTGAAGCTGGCTTTGGAGTTGGATTGGCTCTCCTACTCTAAACCCAAGCATATTATTTAAATACAATTCAGAATTTCTGTATTATATCAAAGAGCCATTGATATAAGACAGAAGAAATAAAATGAGGGACTGTTATCTGTGGATTTCTTTTTCTGAACAGTCTAATTTCCTCCAGGTTTTCCATCTTCCCTATTGTCACCTCTTCTGTATGCATACATATGAAAGTTAAAATATTTCTTTGTTAACAGTAATGTTTGAGTTTTCCAGAGAACAAGGGATTTCCTGACAGCAATCTTCAACTGCTTCCGAAAGAGAATGAGGATCCACTTCCTTGACTTCACCTGATTCGACTGGAGGCATCTGAATTGCCCCACATCATTGACTCCACCTGACAAGCACTATCCTGAAACTGGCTTGAAACTACATCACTCTACACAACTCCAGATCAAGAAACTGAAACGGCACATTTTCTACAATCTGGCCAGAGCTTCAGATGAGAGCTTCAATCAACACTAGAACCCTAGTCAGGAACTTCAATCAAGCATCTCCTGCCATACTGAGACTGTCTGATCTACTGAGATTTTGTTATACTAACATTTTCTTTTCACAGGTCCCCATGAGATTATCATCGTCCCATCTCAGCAGGAAGTAGTTTTGAGAATTCCACGCCCCCTCTCCCTACTATTGATATTATAAGATAGTTTACACCTGTTAGTGTTAGTTTTCAATTATTTTAGAGTTGGGATTGGAAGGAGGTGTTCATATTTGGGTGTTTCTTTCAGATAAGTTTAGGTTTAGATAGAAGTTTGATACATCTTGTTCATGGACACAAGTTAGTTGTCCTTTTTTAGACTAAAAGGGGAATTGTAGGAGGAAGTCTATGCCGCCATTAAACATGTGACTTACTAGAGGCACATACAGATGAGGTAATAAAAGGGCGGTTTACCACACCGCTAACCACACCCACTTTAGGCAGGACTAAAGATGTATACGGCTGGACGTAAAGATGTATACGTACGTAGGCGGAACTACGTCACTAGCCAGGCCCACTTTTGGGCATGGCTAGGGGGCGTTACGGGGGAAGGCATAAAAGACAGCGCACAGGAAGTCTCGCTCTCTTTTCCTGGAGATCGGCTTCTGGTCCGGCAGCTAGCTGAAAACTGCTCCTCGGGGTTTGGTATCTTGTGAGTAATTTTCTACATTAAATACTTAGCTTTACTGTCAGTAATTGTGTGTCGCGTATTGTTACAGCGTCCGTTAAAGCCTACAATCTGCAAGTAGTGAAACTTTGACTTCTTTTCCAATTTATATCCCCTTGATCTCCTTTTGTTGTCTTATTTCTCCAGTTAGAACTCCAAGTATAATATTAAAGAGATATGGAGAGAGCCTTGTCTTGTTCCAGATTTTAGAGGACACACATTGAGTTTCTCACCATTTAGTTTGGTGTTAGCTGTTGGTTTACTTTATATTGCTTTTATTGTGTTCAGATATGTTCCTGTTATCCCTGATATCTCCAGGACATTTATCATGAAGGGATGATGGATTTTGTCAAAGGCTTTTTCAACATCATGTGAGATGATCATGTGGTTTTTCAGTTTGTTTATGTGGTGGATTACATTGATAGATTTTCATGTGGTGAACTATCCCTGCATCACTGGGATGAAGCCTACTTGATCATGGTGGATGATTTTTCTGATGTCTTCTTGGATTCAATTTGCTAGTATTTTATTGAGTATTTTTGAATGAATGTTCATGAGGGATATGTAGTTCTCTTTCTTAGTTGTGTCATTGTGTGGCTTTGGGACCAAGGTAATTGCGACCTGGTAAAAAGAGATTGGCAGTGAACCTTCTGCTTCTATTGTGTGGAATGCTTTGTGGAGTATTGGAATTAGCTCTTCTTTGAATTTCTGATAGAATTCTTTACTGAAGTCATCTGGGCCTGGAATTTTTTTGGTTGGGAGACTTTTGATGACTGCTTCTATTTCATTAGGAGTTATTGGTCTGTTAAGATTCCTTATCTGTTCTTGATTTAATTTTGGTAAGTGATATCTATCCAGAAATTTGTTCATTTGCTTTAAATTTTTGAATTTTGTGGAGTACATGTTTTCAAAGTATGACGTGAAGATTATCTGGATTTCCTCAGTGTCTGTTGTCATGTCCCCCTTTTAATTCCTGATTTTGTTAATTTACATGTTCTCTCTCTGCCTTTTGGTTAGTTTGGATAAAGGTTTGTCTATAATGTTGATTTTCTCAAAGACCCAACTCTTTGTTACATTGATTCTTTGTGTTGTTTTCTTTGTTTCAAATTTATTGATTTCAGCCCTCACTTTGATTATTCTAATGTTGATTGAAGCTCTTGTCTGAAGCTCTGGCCAGATTGGAGGAAGTACACCATATCAGTTCATTGGTCCAGAGTTGTGCCAAGCGATGTAGTTCCAAACCAGTTTCAGGAAGGTACTAGTCAGGTGGAGTCGATGATGTGGGTCAGTTCAAATGCATCAAGTCAAATTGGGTAGAGTTGGATGAAGTGGGGCCCCAACTTCTTTCCGAAGTGTTTGAAGAATGCTGTTAGAAAACTCCTTGTTCTCTGGAAAATACAAACATTAATGTTAACAGAGAAATTTTCAACTTTTATGTGTATGCTTACCAGGAAAGGCAACAATAAGGAAGATAGAAAACATAAAGGAGATTAGACTTTCAGAAAAGGAACAAAATATAAACAGATGACAGTCCCTAGCTTTGTTTTCTTCTATCTTGTACCAATGGCTCTTTGATATAATAGAGAAATTCTGAATCTTATTTTAACAATGTGCTTGAATTTAGAGGAGGAAAGCCAATCCAACTCCAAAGCCAGATTCAGTAAAATGAGTTGGGACTAAATATTAAGAAGCAAGGAGAAATGGATATTATAAGAACAAGATAGAGAGATTTAGACACTGATATCACACAGTGGATTATTGTTTGTTTGATGGTCCTCAGGGTAGCTATCCATTCTTCTTTAGATATCCATATGTCCAGTATTTTTCACTGTTTGGAACTGAATTTTCCTGTGAAGACAAAAACAAAACACTTCTCTTTCCTTCTATTAGGTCTTCTTACACATAGTAGAATATGACCTTGTAGATGAGCTGTCATCTTTCCTCCTCTTAGGGCTTCTTCTGTTCGGATCGAATCTTGATTAATTTTGATGGAATCCAAAGTTTTTCTTCTCCTGTGGAAACAAAGGCAAAACCCCTTCCCCAATATAACACATATCCTGGTTTCCAGACTGAGGTCATAACATCCTTGAAACACACTGGTTGGTTTAGTTCAGAAGTTGTTTCTGTAGTCCAGTGTCTTTCTGCAGCTGCTTGTCCTTTTTCATTAACATTAAGAAAGTTCAACGTTAGTAACGCATTATGTAATCTGCGTTTGGGGGTCTTTGTTTCCCCTGGCTGTTTATGAAGCATTTCTTTTAAGTTGCGGTTATATCTCCCAACCACTGCTTGTCTTGTAGGATTGTGAGGTATACCAGTTACATGTTTTATGTTATAATATCTGAAAAACTTTTCCAATTTTCTGGAGACATATGCTGGAGCATTGTCAGTTTTTATTTGTGCAGATATACCGTAACAGTCATCACCTCTAAGAGGTGTGTGATAACAGAATCAGCCTTTTCAGAGCTGAGGGAAGTAGCCCATTGGAAGCCTGAGAACGTGTCTATGGTATGGTGTACATATTTCAAACTTCCAAAATATGGAAAGTGAAATACATCCATTTGCCAAATTTAATTTCTGCAAATAGCTTTGGGATAACTGCCTGGTGGTGTGGAGTTTGATTATACAATGAACAGGTGGGACAGTTTCTTGCTGTTTCCTTGGCTTTTTGCCAAATGATATATAAATCCTTCTTTAAGCCTCTGCTGTTGACATGGTGTTTCTTATGAAATTCTGAAGCTTCCAACATACCTCCAATGAATAACAATCAATCTCATCATTGCCTTGTGGCAGACACTTATGGGATCTGATGTGTGTTATATACATAGGATGAGTTCTATTTCTGGTGGTTTCCTGTAATTGTAAAAACAGTGAGGTTAATTCTGTGTCATCAGAAACAAATTCTGTAGTCTCGATGTGTAAAACGACTCTCTCTGCATACTGAGAATCCATAACTATATTTAGAGGCACTGTAAAGTCTTTAAGTACCATGAGAATGGCATACAACTCTGCCATTTGTACAGAATTGTAAGGGCTTTTAACTACTTTACTTATATTTCCTGATTCATAGCCTGCCTTACCTGACTTGTTTGCATCAGTATAGAATGCCCCTCTCTGATAATGATTTTGACGACTATGTTATATACCATCCTAGTACCTCCATCCAGTGACAGATGGAAGCAGAGGCAGACAACCACAGCTAAACACTGAACTGAACTCCTGGAACCCAGTGACAGAGAGGGAGGACTGATGAGCAAATGGGGCAAGATTGGGCCGGTGAAACCCAGAGAAACAGCTAACCTGAACAAGGGGGAGCTCTTGGACCCAAGACTGATGGCTGAGAGGCCAGCATGGGACTGATCCAGACTCCTTGAATGTTGGTGTCAGTTAGGAGACCTAGGCAATCTATGGGGCTTTGGATAGTAGATAGTATTTATCCCTGGCACACAAATGGACTTTGGGTGCCTATCCCACAATGAAGGATGTTCTCTCAATCTGGACACTTGGGGGAGGGCCTAAGCCCTTCCCCAGAATGAAATGACAGACTCTAGATATCCCCTACAGAGGGCATTGCCCTCCCAGGGGAATGGAGTGGGGATTGGATGGGGGGTAGGGGGCCAGGGAAGTGGGTATGGAGGGAAGAGAGAGGAAGCTGGGACTGACATGGGAAGCAAGCTTGTTTCTAATTTAAATATATTATAGAAAATGTTAAAAATCTCCAGAGATAGGCATAGAAGAATCCAAATTGTTTTCTTTATGAATTTGATTCTCTCTGTTTTGGGATAATTGTTACTTATTTAAGTTCCCAAAAAGTCACTGCAAGCCCTTTGCCAATATTCATTATCCTTCCATAAGGAGGAAATTTTCTAACTTGTTAAGGGTACAACAATCTCTGCTGCATCCTTTCCAGTTAGTTGACAAAGCCTTAACTTGCCTTTTAGTATCAAATCAAAGATCTTTTCTATATATATCATCAGTTTTTAAATTCTGTTTATGTGGCAGAAATACCCATTCTAGTATTATGTCTTCCCTTTGCATTAATATTCCAGAGGGGTATTCTCTAGATGGCAAAATAATCAGAATGCAGTTCAGTTTTGGATCCACACAGTCCACATGTGCTTCCAATATTCTTTGTTTTTCCCATTATAATTCTTTTTCAGCCTCAGCTGATACTATTCTAGGACTTTTAAAGTCCTTGTCTCATTTTAGGGCCATTTTCAGGTGTTTTAAATCATGCCCTTCTACTTCAATAATTTTCTGTAGTTGAGAAATTTCTCCTAGTAATTTTGAAGATCATTAAGAGTCTGGTAACAATCTCTGCTGATCTGTACCTTTTGCTGTCTAATTTTCTGTAAGTCTATTTTATAGCCTAAATAATTATTAGAATCTCCTCTTTGTATATTTTGTGGGGCAATTTGTAATCCCCAGTGAGGTAAAGTTTTCTTTACTGCCTCAAACATCTTTGTAACATACCCTTTTTTGAATCAGCCAACAATATATCATCCATATGATGATAGATTATTGAGTGTGAACATAGGTTACTAATTATTTCCAAGGATTTTTGCACAAAATACTGACACAAAGTCGACTATTTAACATTTCTTGTGGCAACACCTTCCACTGAAATTTCTGTACTGGTTGAGAATGGTTATAGGTAGGCACTGTGAAAGCTAATTTATCCCTATCTTTTTCTTGTAAAGGTATAATGAAGAAGCAATCTTTTAAATCTATAAATATAATTGTCCATCCTTTAGGAATCAGAGAAGGTAATGGCATCAAATGCTGTAGAGAACCCATAGGCTGAATTCCCTTGTTTATAGCTCTTAGATCAGTAACCATTCTCTATTTCCCAGACGTCTTTTTCATAACAAATACAGGAGAATTCCATGGACTGGCAGATTCTTCAATATGTCCAGCATTCGGCTATTCCTGAACTAACTTTTCTAAAGCCTCTAACTTCCCAGAGGCCATTGCCATTGCCCTACACAGACAAGTTTATCTGTTAGCCATTTTAAGGGTAGTGCTTTTGGTTTCTCTGTAGGTGTTTTGTTAGCATCCTGTAACTGTACAGCCTGTATGTTCTGCGACTGCTTAATGTAGTGCCTTAAAATATTATTTCTACCACTAAGAGCTTGTTTATGATTCATATCTGACACAGGATGAATGTTAATCTGGGTATTCCATTGCTGTAATAAATCAGCACCCCTGAGATTTATAGCAAATTGGCAACATATGTCCTCAATCTCCCTCTTTGTCCTTCTTGTGCAATACACTCTACCCATCTAGTACTTTTTCTTACTTCAGATAGGGTCCTTATCCCTAACAATTGGACATTAACAACTTGTAAAGGCCATGTTTTAGGTCACTTTCCTGAATAATAATAGAAACATCTGAACCTGTGTCAAGCAAACCTTCCCAAATAATGTTATTTACTTGTACTTTTAATTTTGGCTTCCTGTCATTGATAGAAGTCTGCCAAAATACACATTTTTTCATTTCCTCTAGTATAGACTGGTTCATCCTCAATAACTAATCTGTCATTCACAGAGCCATTTGTCTTTACAATAGGTAGTGGATCTTCTAATTGTCCTAAGAGAAATCTTCTTCTACAGTGACTGGGAATGACCAGACCACTTTTGACATGGAGGCCTTTGAAAGTCCCCTTGATGTATTTCCTGATTGTAAAGTGTTACCTTGTTTGTCCATGGTTGACCTACATTCGTTGGTCTAGTGTCGGCCCTTGGTACATCTCCTATACGAACCAGAATTCTGAGGCCTTCTGTTTGAATCATTCCTAAGAGAAGTATTATTTCTAGGAATGTTTTGTCTACAGTTCCTACTCAGATGTCCTATTCGACGACTGTTAAAACATCTGGTGTTATGATGTCTTTTTAAATTTCTGGAGATTGCTTTTCCAATGCAAGTCTGTATATCCTCACGGTTAGAACATTTTCATCTTGGTGCATCTTTAAGCCTTTAGAACTGGCCTCTCCTACCCAGGTTCCTGTCTCTGGATCATTATACTCAATATTAGCTGTATATTTTTGCTTTTTTCGAGACAGGGTTTCTCTGTATTGTTTTGGAGCCTGTCCTGGAACTCGCTCGGTAGACCAGGCTTGGTCTCGAAATCACAGAGATCCGCCTGCCTTTGCCTCCCGAGTGCTGGGATTAAAGGCGTGCAACACCACCGCCCAGCTGGATTTGTACTCTTATAAGCTAAAAATTCTATAAGGAGTCGCCTAGTATTTGAATCAGTTACCTATAAGTTTACTGCTCTGGATAATCTTTGTAAGAATTCAGAAAACCTTTCTCTAGGAGCCTGTACCAATTTTGAATATGGTTCAACTTTTCCTCCTCATTCATGAACCTTATTCAAAGCATTTAGAGCTGCTGTATAACATAAAGAAGGTGTGTGTTCATCAAATCCAGCTTGGGCCTGTGGATCAGCAAGTTCACCTTCACCAGTAACCTTATCTTGGGAAGTTAATTGCATGCTTGGTGAATACCGAGCAGGCAGTGGCTGTGGCAAACACGTGCCAAGGGAAGCACTCTGATGGCCATGCTGGGACCCAACAGAAGCAGACACATGCTCTACCGCCTGCAGCAGGAACGTGCACTCAGTAGCAGGCAGCTAGCAGCAGGACATGTGCTTTGTGACAGGTAAGACAGGCCAGACACAGTGTGAAGCTGAGAGAGACAGCATCACCCTGGGCACAGTCTATAGCAGAGCTGCAGCTGTGACAGGGCTGGGGAAAGGTAGTGAAAAGCTGCATAGCACAGCTTTCAGGAATCTGCAGAGCTAGTCCTGCAGTGTAAACAGGGCTAAGCTTACCTTTGAATTTCTGGGGATGCAAAGCGGTCAGAGGCATTCTGCTTTCCATGGTCTGGCATTCTTTGGCATGACTGTGGCACAGTATGCCAGACAGGCAGCAGTGGGGTCTCCCGGGGGGCTCGTCTCCCCGAGCCTGAGTTTTGGGGACTGGGTAAAAACTTCTGACACCAGCTGAAGAGATAATCAATGCAATGGGGAAAAATATTTTTTATTAACAGGAGAAAGTGCTTACATACAAGCTGGGAAGATCAGAAGCATGGCCAGCTTCCAAGAGAGACTGCTTTTGCTTTTCCTCTCTTTTATATACCATGTGTCCATCTCCTGTGCACAACCCTTGGGGCATGGACAGTATTGTGGGCTCACCCCTACAGTGATCTGATAAGATACAGGGGGTTATTCCATTTTTTTGTACTGTTGAGGTTTGCTATGTTGTCAAGTATGTCATCGATTTTAGAGAAGGTCCCATGTTGGCGCTGAGAAGAAGGTATATTCTTTTGTGTTTGAATGGAATGTTCTACAGATGTCTGTTAATCCCAATTGGGTCATAATTTCTGTTAGTTCCTTTGTTTCTTTGTTAAGTTTCTGTGGTGGTCCTGTCTAGTGGTGGGAGTAGGGTGTTGAGGTCTCCCACTATAGCTGTGTGAGGTCTAATGCTTGATTTGAGTTTTAGTAATGTTTCTTTTATGAATGTGGGTGCCTTTGTATTTGGGGCATAGATGTTCAGAATGGCCTTAACTCACCCATAAAAAGACACAGGCTAACAGAATGGATTCGAAGACAGAACCCATCCTTCTGCTGCATACAAGAAACACACCTCACCATCAAAGACAGACATTACCTGAGAGTTAAAGGTTGGGAAAAGATTTTCCAATCAAATGGACCCAAGAAACAAGGAGGGTAGCAATCCTAATATCTAACAAATTAGACTTTAAAATAAAATCAATCAAAAGAGATGAAGGAGGTCATTACATACTCATCACAAGAGAAATCAACCAAAATGAAGTTTCTATTCTATTCTATTTGTTAATTTGCATGTTCACTCTCTGCTGTTTGGTAAGTTTGGACAAAGGTTTGTCTATCTTGTTTATTTTCTCAAAGAACCAACTCTTTGTTTCATTGATTATTTGTATTGTCTTCCTAGTTTCTACTTTATTGATTTCAACCCTCAATTTGACTATTTCCTGGTGTCTACTCCTGGGGAAGTTTGCTTATTTGTGTTCTAGAGCTTTCAGCTGTGCTGTTAATTCTTTAGTATAACTATTCTCCAGTTTCTTCATGTGGGCACTTAGGGCTACGAACTTTCCTCTTAGCACTGCTTTCAAAGTGTCCCATAGGTTTGGGTATGTTGTGTCTTCTGTCTCATTGAATTCTAGGAAGTCTTTAATTTTTTTTATTTCTTCTTTGACCCAAGAAGTGTGCAGTTGTGCATTATTAAATTTCCATGAGTTTGTAGGTTTTCTGCAATTTGTGTTGTTGTTGAATTCTAATTTTAAAGCATGGTGGTCTGATAAGATGCATAGAGTTATTCCAATTTTTTTGAAGCTGCTGAGGTTTGATATGTGGTCGATTTTTGAGAAGGTTCCTTCCATGTGTTGGTGGGAAGAAGGTATATTCTTTTTTATGTGGATGAAATGTTGTATAGATGTCTGTTAATCCCAATTGGGTCATTACTTCTATTAGTCCCTTTGCTTCTTTGTTGAGTTTCTGTCTGGTATCTAGTACTTTGTTTCACTTGAGATAGTGTCCTGTTTCCTAAAAATTGAACATTTTCTTCTTTTAAAGGCCCACTTAAGGGGCCAATTTTTTGAGTTATTATGGTGACAATAACTCCAGTGTCTAGAATCCCAAAATATCTTATTATTCATTTTAACTGGTAATTTGGGTCTGTGATCCTGTACAGAAATTTGCCAAAATATGCATTTTTGGTTTCCTCTAGTATCAACTGGTTTCTCCTCAATAAGTAATCTGCATCTATAGTGCCATTAGTCTTTACAATAGGCAGTGGATCTTCTAATTTCTCTGAATGAAATCTTCCTCTACAGTAACTGGGAATGTCTGGACCACTTTTGATATGGGGACCTTCGAGACGCCCCTTGAGAAGTTTCCCGATTGTGCAGGGTTACCTTGTTTGTCTGTGGTCCAGTGTCTGCCTTTGCTACATCTTCTACACAAACAACAAGGCTGAGGACTTCTGTTTGAAGCATTCTTGGGAGAAGCATTATTTCTAGGAATGCGTTGTCTACAGTTCCTTCTCAGATATCCTATTCTATCACGGTTAAAACATCTAGTGTTTTGATGTCTTTCTAAACTTCTGGAGATCCCTTCCCCAAACCAGGTCTGTATCTCCTCATGGTTAGGCCATTTGTCATCTTGATGTTTCTTTAAGCCTTTAGAAATGGCCTCTTCTACCCAGGTTCCTGTCTGCAGACCACTATTGTCAATATTAGCTATTACAAGACCTGTTCATCCAATGGTGCCGATCTGATCCTTAATGACCACAGTACCTGTTTGCCTTGTGGGTTTGTATTATCATAAGCTAAAGATTCTGTCAGATGTCACCTAGTATTTTAATCAGTTACCTGTAAGTCTACTGCTCTGGATAGTCTTTGTAAGAATTTAGAGAACTTTTCTCTAGGACCCTGTACCACCTTTGAATATGCCCCAACTTTTTCTCCTGGTTCATGAACCTTATTTAAAGCATTTAGCACTGCTGTATGGCATAAAGAAGAAACTGTATGTTTGTCAAAACCAGCTTGGGCAAATTTACCTTCACCTAGCATCTTACTTTGGGAAGTTTAAAGCCTTGTTTCAAGCCTTGAAGTTCGAGGGCCTTGGCCTCCTGTCTCCACAAAGCCTTCCATTATATTGGGGAAGACTGGTCCAGCATCGCTGATATTAAATTATGCTAATCTGTGGGAGTTATTTTGGTTTTTTTTGCCCAGGAACTCAACAATTCTTTCACTTAGGGGCTGTGAACCCCATAAGCTACGATAGCTTGCTTGATTTCTTGTAGAACTTTCATAGGAATATGTTCTCACTGGTAAGTGGTGGACCCATTTTGATTCCTCCATGATGCTGGCCTTTCTGTCACTGTTATTGGAATGTCCACTTTAGGAAGGTCTCCTAGGAATCTAGTAGATATACCTCTTTCATTGCCTGGTGGCCTAGTGGCTAGTGCCTCAGTGTCTGATGTTCCAGATGGTGAATCTTCTAAGCATTGTAATTATGTGACCATGTCATCTCTGAGGGCTTGGATTTCCTGCATCAAGAATTGTTCTAATGAGTTTATAAGATCCTTGGACTGGTCAGTCAAGTGTGATTCCAAGCCCTTCATACCATCATCCCTAAAGTCTCTAAATGTGTCTATTTTGCCTTCTAGAAATATTATCCTGTCTGCTAGATGCTCACTGTCTTCAGACACAGAGTGAATTGTCCCTGCTAATTTTGTAAGTTATTCTTGGCTGGACTCTATCTTAGTCATAAATGCAGTAGACATTGGATTAAATGTGTCTCGAAGGTTGTTCTGATTAAGTACCAAATTATCTGTTTTGGTGGCTAAATCTGCTTTTTCCTGAAGAACCTGAAGCTTTTACTCTAACTTTGAATCATTTTTACAATTTGTCTATTATCTGTCTGTTTACTCAGTCTCTTCCATGTGATTACATATATTAGAACACTAACTGCGAGCATGAGACACAAATGCATTTGAAATAGATCATAATTGTCTTTTAATACATAATGCATAGCATTGGCAACGAGATACCTAATGTTCTATAATGTTAAATTATCTGCCATGGTACAATTAGATGTTCTTACCACCAATTATAAATACTGAATTTTAAAAATTACCTCTAGTTGGTTTTGGTCGATGAGAATAATCTTATCTGTAGTTACCATGCTTGGCCAGCAGAAGGCGCATATGTACTGTCAAACACAGTTTCTCTGCAGAAAACCATTTTTTTTTTCCCACCAAAATGACCTGTTAATGCTAACAACAGCCTGTAGAAACATTAACGAACAGATTCCGGGAGGAAAAGGCTTGGGGAGGTTGAGGGACATGTGGCTACAAATAGCCATGAAATCCTATGGATAGAAGGGGGTGGGAAGCGGGCAGGTGCTAGGACTTTGAGCCCAGCCTGTAGCAGCAGCCACAGCAAGCACCATGCACCCGGGGCTTTGTGGTTGGGGTCAGCTGGGCTTTGTGTTCTGACTTCTGCGCTTACCCGTAGCGCTGCTCTCAGCCCAGGGACCTCTTCCCAGACGGTGGTGGCACAGAGCTACTTGTCCCAAGGTGGTGCTGCAGCGGGGCGTGATCGTTCCACGTGATGCAGCAGAAGCAGAGGGAGAAGCAGTGGCTGTTAATGTGGGCTCAAGCACTAGTTAATCCTTTGTCCAAATGTAATTCTCCTTATCAATTGCTTGAGGAAACTAGAAATCATTCTGGGACTGTCACCAGCAGACAGTGATGCTGAGGAGTCTAGTCCTGTGGCCCCTTGCTTCCGTGACTTCACAGTTGTCGCTGCACACACAGCAACACTGTCGCATAGATCTGTGATTGCTTTGACTTCCTTGTAACTCACATATAGTGAGCATCCAGTTGTTTAGACTACTCACATCAGTATACATGAACTACCTTATGGCTTCCTTTACTAACAAATCTTTTTAGTTAAGATATATGTATGTATATATATCTTATATATAGTTAGCATATATATATCTTAGTTAGGATATATGTAACTATGTATATAACTGTTTTTACTTAGTCTTTTAAAATTAGATACATTTTACATCCTTTTATAATTGTATCAAAAGACACGAGTATATTCATGTGTATGTAGCATTAAGACATGTAAGCACATCTGCTTTTTAATTCAAGTTTAAGTGTAAACATGTACTTTAAAAACATTAATATATTTCAACCTCACTTCAAACAGAATCTCTCTGAAATTCCTTCATAAGGCATATGCTAAGAAGTCCAATGTACTTGAGTGAGTTCCTTAGAAGAAATTCTTCAGACTTTATATCCAATAACATCAAATTGCATCCTTAATTGCTGGTCCCATGATGGTATGTATGAAATGTGTGTTTTTGCATGCATTTTTGTGACAGTACGCAGTGAATGAATGTATGAGTCACTGTGTTGCTACCTGTTTGTCATTGTGTATGTCTCTGGGAGAGTTTATGTGTACCTGTATATGTTATTGTGTGTGTACCTTCGTATATTTGTGTTTGTGTGAGTATTTGTGGTTATGCGTGTGTATGTGAGGAGTTGGCTGTATAATGTCTTGGCACATGGCAAGGCTGAGACAGACAGAGATCAGGAAGGTGTATCTGGAGCCATCTTTTATGTACCCACCACTGATGTCTTGCTCCTTATTCACACGCACAGTATCTACACCATTTGTGCTGAGGTTGCAAACTAACCCACAAGGGTCAGTATTTCAAAGAACTCTGTTCTACCATGTGTAGTCAAGAGGACAATATGAAGTCTTGAGGGGTGTTAATGTACATGCCATCATATCAGCTGTGATTTTGTCACTGCCAAAGTCTGTGTGATGTTTTGAAATCTACAAAGAGGTACCCTTTACAGGATGCAGACTGGATTTAGTCGACCATTCAGATCTAAGAGTCTGAAGTCTTCTTATCATACATGAAGAATTATTTTCTCATCCACAAATCCCCACCTGCTTTTGGGGAAACAGAACAAAATATGGTGAAATGATTGGTACATTGTGAGGGGTCATCGAGTCACACTAAGAATGCTGGGAAAAGGTAGTAGGGTATTTACTCAGAAAGAGAGAAGTGACTTACATGAGAAACTGGGAAGCTGGGAAACTCTCTGAAACATGGCTGGTATCCAAGGAGAGAGTGCTTTTACTTTCCTTCTCCCTTATATCACTTACCTGTCCCATATCCCTCTGTCCACACCCCAAAGGACAGCATCTTGGGTACCTGAGCTCTCTCCTACAGTAAGTCATTATATTTATGTTAACACTTTCAAGGTAGGTTTCAGAGGTGGCAATGAATGTCCCATTGATCAGAATTCAGTGCTGTGCTTCTGAAAAAAAAACTGTGCCCCTCTCTCTGCTACTGGGCTATTTTTCCTTGTTCCTCATTTGCACTCTAATATTGCTTCCCAAGCTTTAAATAATTTTGCAATAGCCAGAGGGTAATCTGAGCCACAACTGCTACTACAACGTAAGATGATGTAAGATGCCCAAGTGCTACCATATTGTCCACAATGTGAAAGTCTCCTACACGTAAATAAAGACATCTTCACCCTATTAGAACACAAATGACTTATATAGATACTTTCAACTCATAAGGGATTTGCAATCCATGATGGCATCTAAATTCCCATTAAGACATCATTTACCATGGATGTCTTCATCCTACAAGAAATTAGTTGTTCCCAAAGGAAACCTTTATCCTATAATGCGATATCTGAAGTTTATAATATGTGTTCATATTCCAGAGACTGTTATGTGCATATGTATACATTCTGGAGAATGAGAGAAGCACAGGGTGGTCCTCAACAGGCTTAGAAACAATTTATACCTTACAGAGAAACAATCATCAAGGGCTATCAATACAATGGGTGACATTTGAACAACTCTCTGAAGTAAGAGAATAAAGCAACTATGGAAACAAGGAGGGAATATTTACAGCAAGTAACAACACATGGAAACCCTCAGGAGGAAATGCACTTTACCTGCCGAGATTCCTGATTGAGTGTCAGAGTTGGATGGGATGGAGTTGTCAGGAAGACGGAGCTGGGAGAATGAAAAGCCATTAGTTTATTCAAGATGCCACATGCTCCAATAGAATTTTGTATCATTCATAGTGCAAATTAGGCCTTTGGAAGGCTTTACAAGAAGTATGATAATGTGCATATTCCTAACAGTTAAAGAATATCTGTCGTGATCAGAACATTCACTAAGCATGCAGAAAATCATGGAGAATGGTGGAAGCTGCTGCAGTTTTCCAGGTTAGGGGACACAGTGACCTGAACCCAGCAGGACAGTGGGATATGGCAAAGGGAAGGTCCCAGGGCATGTGATTAGTAGGTTACAAGCTTTACCAAGAGTCTGGGTGTGGGTTTAGAAGGGAACAAGAGCAAAACTCAGTCTGAATGGGTGAAAATTAAGATGACACTTATGGAGCAGGAGGAGCAGAGGGTCAAAGCTGGGGTGTGGAATGACTGAGAAGTCTGCTATGCATTTAAAGATATCAAGGATAAAGGAAAATTGATCTCAAGCACAAACCTATGAATTAAAGTCTAGGTGTCAGTTTTACATGTCAGCCATAATCAGACTGTTTTTCCACTACGAAATGAGACCATGAATGTTTTCTCTGACAACAAAAAATAAATGCAAGCATCTCTGAATTTATAATGTTCTGGGTATAGGAAACTGATCTGCAGTTCCTAGTCTGGAAGAATTTTCAGTGGAGTGCAGGCCTGTGTTCAAGTTGGGAGAAAGGGGACTTAAGTTCAGAAGAGACAACTTTGAAGGGACAAGAAATGAATGCTCCCATCACTTCTTTCCCCACCCATCCATCAAAGGATATACTAAGACATCATATCTGAAGACAGAGATGCACAGAGTGCTCCCAGACAGCAAGTAACTGAAAAATTTAAATTATTAATGATATTTTTACAATATGTAGGGGATAGATAGTAATCACTTTACTCTCTATCTCCCTGACACTTCTTTCATTTCTTCTCCTTCTCCCCCAAATCCTCTCTCCTATGTTCATGTCTGTTCTTTTTTGTTTTGGCCCATTGGTAATAACTAGACCATAGTTAATCTCATAGTTAATCTCTGCTAATCTCAGAAGAGGGTATATACAATGAAGAGCACTGATCCTCCCTCACTAGCAATTTTCAGTAGCTAACTGTTCAGAGGTAATGGCATGGGGCTTCCTCTGATTGTTTATAGGGGATAGTCTCATTTCGACTCAGGGTAAATAACTAAGTTTTTTTAAAATTAATGACCTTTGCAGCCCTTCATTGCATTTTTCTGCTCTCATACACTTCCTGGTGCCTCTTGTTTGATGTCCTATGAGACTTAGAAGGGTAGTAACCCAACACTCTGAAGGACATACTCTATCCACAGCCAGCTCATCTCTAAGTCCCTGAAGTTCAGCTGATTCTGAGTTCAGAATGTTTCCAAGATGAGTTGCACCCGGAATTTTACTATTGTGACCACCAGATGGCACCCTTGGTCCTCTGATGATCCTGCAGTTCCAAGGTGCTGCAGTTCCAAGTTGCTGCAGTTCCAAGGTGCTGCTGACTTATGAGAACAGTACAGGGTCTACTCTAAATCGTGGAGCTTTGATACGTAATGCCCCTGGCTGGCTGGCTTCTCTGGACCATGGGAGGTTAGGGTTTCTGCCCTTGCTTCTCTGTGGTATCTGGTAATACAAGGCTTCCAAAAACAGGGCATGTGGTTGCAGATGGCAATGCCCACACATCACTTACTCTTCTTCCTTTATTTTCAAGATCTATCAAGAAGTTCTGAATGAGAACTCCCAGTAAATCAAAGGAGTATAGAATTAATCACAGTGAAAAACAGGAACTTTTCAGAGCAGAACATAATAGTAGATAATAGCTTACATTTGTTCAAAATCCCCTCTTTCCTCAAAAGAGAGGCTACCTATGAAATGTGGTTATGTGTTTACAGATTTTTACAAAATGTATGTGATAAGCCTGTTTTCAAGTGCTTTTCAAAGCACTTGGATGTTCTGCTTATGAATGCTGAGGGTTCCCAGTTGTCTTCAACACGTTTATGTGTGTACCTTTTGTGGGCACAGGGTTGAGCCATTTCCATGCTTGCTAAGATCTCTATTCCCAGTCTTAGATCATGTATTACTTTTATGTATATTGCAGTTTATCATGACTTTTCAAGTGACCTAAACATGACATGTTACTTGCAGTTATTATGGGAAGCAAGCTATCATTTCAAACTTAGCATTCTAGCCACATGGCAGTTCTTATAACAATAAAGAGGAATAGTTGGGATAAGAAAAAAGAGACACTGTTTCACAGAGAGAAAAAGTGAAAAAGCAATACAAATCCACAACACATATTACCTGGACAACTAAATAAGAACAGAGCAGTAAAAGAACTGAACCACAGTTCTCTTTAAAGGTACCAGGAACAGCCCCATATAGCATCTGGTCTCTCTGTTATATGTGCAGAACTGAGTTCACTGACATTTGTAGAGTACTTTGCCCTGGAACAAAGATTTGGACTGAGGTATGTGGATAGTAACAGAAAGGGAGAGTGTTTACTTAAGGCATGAAACAATGCATACTTTGTACTGCACCAGGACAGAAGAGAGACCAAAGCACATGAATGAATAATAAAAATAGAACCTCTGGCTTCCTTTCACTGGGTGTGTTCAAAATGTCCCATGTAAGGTTGAGATTTTTACATTCTTACTGTCTTCATTTTGACCAACTTTGGGGTTCTGTGTTGACTGCTGTCTGTTGCCTGCATAGAAAATCTTCTCTGAGGAGGATTGAGAGATGCAGTAACCTATGTGTTTAGCAGCAAGTCCTTAAGAGTTGGAATGATAGTAGATTCTCCTATAGTGCCGGTGAGCTGTCTGCTTATAGATTCTTAGCCTCACTGATGGCGCCAGGTAATGTTTTAAGCCAAGCAGTGCCGTGGGTTCTGAGAATTGAACTCACCTCTTCATGCTCTTAAAACAAGAATTTTATTGACTAAGAAATCTTGCCAGCCCCTTCTGTGTTCATTTTAAATAAAAAGTAAGTGTCTTGGAGCTCAGGGTGGAATGATGTCTCTCACTGTTAGCTGACAGGTACTGGGCTATTCTGGCTCTTTGTGGGTCTCTAACATTGGCATCACTAGCATTGCATTTTCAGCATTTACACTGAACTGCCTAGGTTTTCAGAGAGGAATCTTCTAGTGTCTTACCTCTAGGGGAGCATTAGGTGATATATGGGGAGAGAAAGCCAGGAGCTCCCAAAAATTCTGTGCTTATACTCATTCTTCACATCTCAGTGCCAAGCCCCACACCCGTTGTCTTTACTGCCCACAACAACACAGTTCTTGGCTTTGATCTACTGCTTATTCCTCTCCAAGTTTCCACCAAGCTTTATTTGATTTTGGTGATCACTTTCTTCAGAAGTTAAAAGGGCACTTAAAGAAATATTTTGATGCTCTATATTCTCCCACTTTAGCCAGTAATCTGTTTTATAGACAGAGTGGACTGTTTTCTTCCATCTTCTTCTCAGTAAATCTCTTCTTCCCCATTGTGATTATTATTGAGAATTTTAAAATTAAAATTAAAGATATTTATTTATCTTAGTTGGTAGAATAAGGAAGGAATATGTTTAGACCTATATTTCTTATATATAATCTAAATATCCAGATTGGTTCAAATTTATGTACTAACTGCAGTTCAGTGTCATAAAGGTTTAATAATTATCTGTTGCTTGAAAAGTTGAAGTAGGCCATATAGTGGTTTAAATAAGAATGTACCTCTCAAGATATATCTGACTCACATGGACCCCAGTTTTGGGAGGAGATACAGTTTTGCTGCAAGAACTGTGCCATTGAGAATGGAGTTTAAAACTTTTTAACCTTCTCTGTTTTGAATTCACTCTTTCTGCTTCACTTGAGTAGAAGGTATGATCTCTCAGGTTCTAACTCTTGATGTCATACTTGCTGTTTGGATTCATATGTTCCTTCTACAGTGGACTCATTCCTCTCTGGAACTCTAAACCCAATACACAATTCCATTAGTCAAATTGGGTCATGGTGCTTTATCACCACAAGAGAAAACCAATTGTTGGAGAAGTTAGTACCAGGAGTAGGGTATTGCTGTGAAGAACCTGACCATATAGTTTTTCAGAATAATATGAAAGACATTGGAATTTTGGGTTACAAAAGTAAAGTGTTTAGATGGATATTTTAAGCAGAGCTTACCACGCCATTCATGTTAATCCCATTGGTCAAGAATAAGAGCACTGTCACAATTTGGGAGCCAAATTTAAAGCAAGCTTTAATTAAATACAAGCCAGGATGATGTACTCTGACCAAGCCCACTCCAGAGTTTCCAGAAAATTGCAACAAGTCATATTTTACAGAAATCTTTAAGGCAAGCCCATAAGACTATTGTTTCTCATGAGGTGCAATCAAAGAGGCAAGCATACATCCTGACATATTTCCTGTCTACATACTTTATTCCTATATGTAATCAAGTGTATCCAGTGCAATTGGATCACATAAACTAGTTTAAGGGAGTGAAAACAAGTGACTCATTATTTCTAGAACCACATACCCCAGCATTCCAGGAAATTATCTGTGTTTAGGTAAGTGGGGCTTACAGACTAACACTGGCCCTTACAGAACCTGGAGGATAGTAGTGCTGAGAGTAATATGGACTGAAGAGTCCCAGATTAAGATGTTTTAGAGTTGAATAATATTAACAGTAGTGGTAGTGATCATTCCTATGGTATTTTGACAAAGAAACTGGCTGCCTTCTGCCCTTATCCTAAGAACTTACATGAGGCTAAATTAAGAAACAATGGACTAATTTCTTTAGCAGATATGATAGGATAATGTTGAGTCTGTGGTACGGTTATTACTAATAAGTCTTATACAGATCTACAAAAAAGAGCAAAAGAGCCCATGGAGCAAAAACAAATACAAAATGTACAAATTGAAGTTAAAAACAAAATAAAATAAGAACACTGGGAAGCAAAATGCTATACTCAAGGCTTCTGCTGAAAGGAAGGTTTTAATTATTGTGGAGATTACTGACATTAAGGAGAAGCTATTTGTTTGGCGTTGGAACAGGGGAAAAATACCCTGAGGGAAAAACACCCACCCAACTAAGATTCCAACTTGTAAAGGGAAAAGTTCTGATGATTTTTATCTTGCTAGAAATCAAATGAATTAAAAGAAAAGTTACTGTTAAAGTGATTCAAGGGGGCCTGGAGGCAGTCAAGCTGCCAGATGAGCTTTGTAGTGTCATCCATGTGTCACTGACTTTGGAGGTATGAAAGATGTATAAATAACAGAGTCATTAATATTCTTGCTGCAGCTTTTGAGAGATGTTGAAGCATGGCAACATATTGCAGTTCTGGAGTTGATAGAAGAAGGGTCTGCAAGGCTAATACATGATCTGAGAACCTGAAACCAAATTTCAGTGGAGACCCCAGAGTGATGAGACAACTACCAAGAAGAGTTGCATATATAGTAACCAGCTTAAGAGAGAAATGTATTATATGGGCAGCAAAACTGAAGGGGCTGAGCCATTGAAACCTTTTGGAATTTAAGTCTCAGATGTGAGATATGGATCTACAGGATTTGGTATGGTATTTTCCCTACTGAGTTTTGCTCCTGTTTTCCTTTAGTTTTTTCTCATTATGCATTCCATTCCTCCCCTTAAGAATAGAATGTAATGTAGGATTACATATTGCCTGTGTTTTTGTGAGTGGGCCTTTGTGGGCTTAACAAAAAATGGCACTAAGGAAATTCCCAAGAATTCATAAGGATAACCCCAACTAAGAATCTAATCAATAGTGGAGAGGCTGCCTTAAATGCACTTCCCATATAACGAGATTGATGACTACTTTAAATATCATAGAGCTTTCATCCACTAGCTGATGGAAGCAGAAGCAGAGATTCACAGCCAAGCACTAACCTGGAATTCAGTTGTATAGAAGGAGGCATGATGAGCAAAGGGGCCAAGACCATGCTGGGGAAACCCATAGAGACAGCTGAACTGAGCTCAGGGACTCCAGACTGACAACCGGGAAATCATAATAAGATTAAACCAAGCCCCAGAATGTGGATTTCAGTTGGAGGGTTTGGGAAGTCTATGCAGTTGCTGGCAATGGAACCAGTATTTATTCCTAGTGCATGAATGGGCTTTTGGAGTCCATTCTCTATGTATGGATACTCTCTCAGGCTAGATAAAAGGGGTGGGGGACTTGGTCCTGACCCAAATAATGTGACAGACTTTGATGATCCCTCATGGGAGGCCTCACCCTCTCTAACGAGTGGATGGGGGGTGGGATAGGGAGATGGTGGGTGGAATAGAAGGGCGGGAGGGAGAGGGAACTGGGAGTGATATGTAAAATAAGAGTGTT